AAAATGGTTGAAGTTCTTTGATGAAATGATAAAAGATGTTTAAAAAAAAACTGTTGATGGAGAAATACAAAAAGTTAAAAAAAAATATTATAAATAATTTATAATAATATAATAATTACTAATATAATTTAATTTATTATTTAATATAAAAATAATATATTTTATTATATAAATTTGGTAAGTAATATTTATTTTTATAAACAAATCAAAACATAAGAATAATAGATATTATTAATTATACAAAATTATAAAAGATGTGAAGAATAAAATTAGTAATTAAATAAAAAAAAACAAATGAAAAGAAAAGAATTACATGAATACACACTCAAATCATTCTGGAATCAAAAAGCAAAAAAGATATCTGATAGGTTATGGTTATGATTTGAAAAGATCGAATCTAAATTCAAATTCTTGGTTTAATATCAATAAAATACAACAAATTTCTTTAAAGAATGTAGAAGTTCTAATAATACCAAGACAACAACAAACCAATAATTTAGAAAATGATGATGAATTAAAAACTAGAAAAATACGTATATATCTAACTAAAGAGGAAAAACAGACATTGAAAAGATGGATCAGCACAGCAAGATGGATATACAATAAATGTTTATCATCTTTGGATAATATCAAAGATATGAGAACTAAGAAGGAAAAAATCCAATATATGAGACAGAAACATATAGTTTCAAGTAATTACAAAAATACTGAATTATCATAGGTTTTAAATACACCAAAATCAATAAGAGACACAGCAATGATAGATATGTTTAAGAATATTAAGTCAAATCATAAATTGAAAAGAGCAAGATTTGTTTTGAAAAAACGAACAAAAAAAGATTTGAACCAATCAATTACTATTCAATCAATTGATTTAAAATGGAAATCTGGATATTTTGTTTTTATTAAAAATATCAAAACAAAAGAAGTTTTACCAGAGATCAAGCGAAAGAGATAAACTAGTCTGGACTCTAGGTTGAATTAAAACTACATTATAGCAGGTTATGAA